ATTCGCTTTTTGATATTCATCGTGAGGTACTCGATCTTGTCTTGTACTTGTAAATTCAAAGTTCGGTATGATCCAATATCATTTTTTTGCTACGTGTTTCAGATGTATTTTTCGCCAGAATTTTACATAAATACATCGAAATTTTCATGCTCGCAATCTCTCCTGAAAAAAAAATCTATTTCGTATGGAATATCAAAAATTCAAAACGAAAACTCGATTACAAAAATTATTTATAGATTGAATTTTATAAAAAATGGAAATTACCTTTGAATCGTATGATCAGATTTCACGCGATTAGATAACAGTCAAAAGTCCATTAGAAAATTCCTGAAATTTCCAGATTTTTCCGGTGCGTACTAGAATGAGAAATACGTTAATCTAGGATGACTCAGTGTCTTTTTCGATCGATGCCAATGAATGAATGCGAATTATCCAAAGTAATAAAACTTTTTTCACTCGAGTTTCTGCAAAAAAAAAAAATAACGAAGTCGTTATATGTACCCTTTCTCAAGGTAAGATGCGATGGTTCAATTTCTCGTGAGATCCCCAAAAAATTTGAAGCTTACAAAGAACTTTCGCAATGATTCATCCCCCAGAGAAGAAGACTTGAGCTGTAATGAGCTCAGCCACTGGTCAGCGAGCAAACTCCGAGTTTTATTTTTTTACTCCTCTTTCCATATTTGAAGTAACTCTTGGGCTTGCACGAATACTCGAGTGGAGTAAAAACCACGGAAGCCCAAACTGTAGAAATGAGTATGAGAGCCCCTGATACTTTTCATCTTGGCTGGAGGAAGCCCCATGTCTGCTCCACCCAGTGAAAAGACAGAAGTTGGAGAGAAGAAACGGGTCCAGAGGAGAAAGCAGAAATAGGACGCTGAGTCGAAACGAGGAGTCTAGAGTCCCCATTGTCCTATTTGAGAGAGAAAAATGGAAGAATAATTCTGGAGTGTAATTCTGTATTGTACTACACATTGAAACATGAAAATAGACTTTTCATTCGAGTCTTTATCTTGAGACAAGAAAGAATGATTGGACTAGACTACAGGAGATGGTTTCACTGGTGACTGATTAATTTGCAAATATCTTTCAAACCCTGACAACAAAAGTACAAGTGGAAAAGCGAGAGGAAAGCCGCTGTAAGTAGTTTGAAAAATATTTAATTACATTGCAATTTACGGGCGCGTATTTTGCGCCTCAATTTTTCGCTTTGTGGTACACTATTTTCTCAATGATGAGAATGTCAGTTCCACCTTCAAAATCCAATCTACATCTGTCAGACCTCTGAGGATTTGGTTTTCTCCAGTGTAGCACCCTAGGGAGTCTTGTAAAATACAATAAATAAAACAAACCAAAAAACTCGGAAAAATGGAGGTACTTCGGAAAAGTTAGAGATACTCTTCAATGTGTGAGAAATGCAGTGTATGTTGGAAGTACACTTTTGTGGCTATTCTGCCTAAGGTTATCTATGAATTCTACTTTTTTCGAGGTGCAAGGGATGGAGGTGTCACCCGGAAAAGACCCGGGACGTGTTGGTCCTCGATATCGGCCTAGGGCTATGGGTTACGAGTTACATTCACAGGAGAAGAAGAGAGAATACACTGGAACGAAAGGGGACGGGGCGAGGGCAATGTGTGGTACCGCAGATGTCTTCAAGCCTGAGGGGCATAAGAAAATAAAAATAAAGCGTATCTGAAGGGTATGAAAAGAAGTTGCTGAATGGATGAGGGGGGCATTGGAATTCTTCTGAGATTTAAACAATGAAAAAGTTGGAATAATTACACACCCCTGGAAATTACGTGACATTTCAGTGACAGAGTCATTTGAATTTTCAAATGTACGAGTTTCAATTCAATAAAAAAATTACCTGAATTTTCAATTGGCTAAAAATCCAGAGAAGTTATCGCATTGTTCATTAAATATTGAAAAAATTGACGGATTTCAAATAAAATTGATATTACTCTGTGGTTGTTAAAAATTTCAAGGTTTTTCCTTCCATGTTAGCTCGATGAAATTCATCTCTCAGCAATTCCAGAAGCCGAAACAGAAATCGGAGTAAAAAACTGAGCGAGAGCCAATGGATTTCAGCAAAAGCTGTAATACTCACACTGAATACTTAATATTCTTTCCAGCATCTTCTGAATCCCATTTCGAAGAGAAACTCGATATTCAACAGAGTCTTTCAGCGGTATAATACTTTTCCATCGAATACCGTCACAATTCAGGAGCTTAGTCCATTTTTAAGTGAAGCGTCGTGAAATTCCGCGAATGCTGGAACTTTGCCGAGTACTTGTTGCCTCTCGCCCATTCCGTAGCCATTTCAATTCACCGGTTTGATGTATATACGCCATTTCAGTCAATCCTGTATCGAATGGAACTTATTCCCTCTCCCTTTCTCTCCCTTGTGATATAGATATGCCTGTGTTTCCATTTTACTATTTATATCGGCTTCTATTTTACCGAGTTTTTACCCTGTAGAGGTACTCCACTGTGTTATGTATACCTCTACCTCGCCAGGGCTTATGTACAAATGCCAACGTACTTGGGCTCCATAACGTATTCCAGGGGAGATTATTTTATGAATGCACTAGATATACTTGCGCGTCTTTTTCCCAGATATTTCATCCACCTCGAACCCATTTTTTGTTTTAATCTATAACAATATATTCAATATATTCTTCATGTATGCTTTTTCATTCTCATGGCATGATAGGACCTGACAGATATACAGAGCTCAGCTGGCAATGTAGAATTCAAAAATTTTTTAATTAATCATTTTTTTAATAATTTTCATTTTCAACTACTGCGGAATCGACGGAAATATGAAAGATTATTCATTAAGCGTCTTATTGCATGAATGAATCCGTTTTGTCAGTTTTTATTTTACGACTATTTATTCTCGAGTTTATTTAAATGTAGCATTTATTGCATTAACTTTAATTTTTCCGTAGTGTGACACACCGTGATAGTATCTCACAGTGGACGACAAAATAATACCAGTGATGAAAATAAATCAAAATTTTAATTTTCATTCTGTTCCACGAAATAAAACGTTGACTCCATTTTTTGCGGATGCAGCGCGTCCGAATAATTAAAAAAATTCATTGCAATGTTTCGTCCATTTCCTCAAATGAAAAAATATGGATGATGTGCCTGTTAATTCAGATTTTTTCATAATTAATGATTTTATCCGTTCAATTATATGACTGTGGGTACAAAAAATAGGAAAAAGCAGTTTTCTCCTTTCTCCCTACCATCGGCCAACCGGAACTTCCTGGGTCTAGTAATGCTCCAGGCAACTGACAAACTATTGCACCACCTGCCGGATCTAAAATTTGATCGCTTGTCAAATTGCAGATCCGCAATAGAAGATTGTTTCCCCACTGGGTGACTATTTTCAAACTGACGGGTGCTCGATAAACGGATGCTCAGATCAATTTCTCCGCTGACATACAGCAAGAAAAATAATTGTAAAATCGAGCCGACCGATCAATCTCGTACTTCACATAATGCAGACGTAGAATTATCCTTTCCCTCCAATCAGAATAAATAAACGCATTTCAGTTGTTGCAAATTAACGAGTGTATTTCGTATAGTTAAAGATTTTCATGGAAAAATCCTCAAAGGAGAGTACCTCAGAGGCCATTAAATAAAGCACAATTTTAGCCAAACGAGCGATTGGTTAATTTTCTCCAACCGGTTTACCAGCTCGCGTGTTCCACCACCCCCGCCCATCAACCTAATCTTCATCGTCGGCATACCTCATCAAGTTTCCTGGGGGTTATAAATTTTTCCACCTAGTTGAGCAAATTTTTTACCAACCAAGCTGCAATTCGCGCTCTCGAAAAGAATGCTTTGTGCCTGATGAATAAATTGATTCATTTATCCCAGTCAAAGTATTTCTTTCGAGAGTTAAAACATTCCAGTTATTCAAGTGGGTAATTTTTTAAGTCTAAGAATGCCCCATCAAACAAATTGTAAACATGCATTATTCATAAACTATTGAGAAAAGCTCGGTTAGTCGTGAATAATCCACTTTTCTCATACAGTTAACCGAGTAATAGACTCGTTGATGGTACAATGAGACTGACTGTTTACTCTCGAGAAAACTGAAACAATGAGGGATGTCTCTCCGGTTCTTCCCATGATACCTCAATATCAATCTGACCTCATTGTCCATTCTCTGTACCATTCAAATGATTATTGATTTCCCTCCTTCTCTATTACATGATTAGCGTGACAACTGATAAACCACGGAGTCCTGCAACATGTACATGAAAAACTTACGTACAATTTCTTGGAGCCCTTTGAGACTCCCCTGAATCACAACACGATTTATTTCTTGATGAAACGAGATGATTGTTATCGATGGGGATGATAAATTATTTAAAAAAAAAGAGTATGATTCTGCAGAGGGGAGTTGTTCAAAGGTACATGTCAGGGTGCACTCTCGGTGGGCTTGTATGTGGCTTCCATTCATGCTTATTTCAATCTCATTGTGTTCACTGGGTGCATTCAGCCTTTGACTTGGTGCACTCGTGTGTCACTACACTATTATACATACAACAGTGGCACGTAAAGAGAGTTTGCGTCGTTTTCACCAGCGGGAAATACATTGGGGTCGGTATTTTCTTCATCAGTCTCTCCCATTTCTACTGTTATGAAAGTTATGGAGGAAGACTACTAACCAACTTCTTGAGCACAGCAATATCCCGACGATAAGCACCTAGAATAGTTCTTCGTTTACCTCCGTAGGTTCTTAGAAATCAGTAACGTACTGTCAAGAGGGAGAAGAACTGGGGAGGGAGGAGGAGAGGTTATTAACAAACTGTCACCTCAACTTTGGAGATTGGATGAGAAAGTTGGAAAAGTTGGGAAGAGGGTGATATGATTTTATGGATGGTGACAAGTGTTGCGGGAATTTTGGAAGGGTCAACTTTCTTATCGCGGAGATTAAGCTCGGAATACTCGATGGGTCTCAAAACAATGATTTTACCTTTCAGACAGCTGCAGAAACAACCCAAACAAGTGTGCCGGTATGTTTACGATCTTCTTAGTGCTGAGTGCACTCCACTCAACGGCTCCTGGATTGATCCAAATGATCCACGCATGTTCAACGGTGAATACAATGAACTTCTTCCCGAATGGGCAGCGAGTAATTTTAGTAATATCTCCAATTCATCGGGTATAGGTGGGTAAAAAACAATTGTTATTAAAAAACATAGACTATCTTAAATTATTAATAAATGAGTTTAAGTTGAGTCCCAGGAATGTAAGTTTTCGATTGATAATTTGGGCCCGATAATCCAAGATGTTCATCAGAAAAATATATTGTCTAGAAAATTCTTAACATTTTCTACCGCAGACTCTTATTCCCTATCACGCCTTAATCAACAAAGATTTCCCATCTGTGTCGAGTCAGGTTTGCCTCGCGGAAACTTGATTCAAAGTTAGATTACTTCTTATGCTACATTACTCCTCAAAATATGAAAATATTTTCGGAATAAATTTACAATGGAAGAAAACATTCTCATACATACGAAATTGGAGATGAAACTTGAGAATAGAGCTCATTGTATGAAATAACGGGGATGAACTCCATTCATATAAAACTTTTCCAACTTTCATCCTGAATATCCGCGTTCACGCTCTATGATTTTGTTCCTCAGTAGAGAAAGCATGGACTACCGATGAGACAGCTCCGCCTTTTGAGATGTGGCAGACAGTGTTGATAGCCCTAGGTTTGGCATCGTGCATTGTCCTAACAATCGGGGGTAATATTTTGGTGCTATTAGCCTTTATCGTCGACAGAACCATCAGACAACCGAGCAATTACTTCATCGCCTCGTTAGCTGCAACAGACATGCTTATCGGTAGAACCAATCACCATAAATTAGATCGCCATCGCTTGTTGACTAACGAATGTTTATACACGTGTGATTTAATTTCCACAGGAACTGTATCAATGCCGTTCTACACCGTCTACGTGCTAATGGGTTCCTGGGATCTTGGCCCATTGCTCTGTGACCTATGGCTCTCTGTGGATTACACAGTATGTCTCGTATCACAATACACCGTCCTTTTAATCACCATAGATCGATTTTGCTCCGTCAAGATAGCCGCTAAGTACAGAGGCTGGAGAACCAAGAATCGCGTGATATGGATGGTTACCATAACGTGGATTATTCCAGCGCTTTTATTTTTTATCAGTATATTCGGGTGGGAGCACTTTGTTGGCTACAGAAATCTTAAGCCAAACGAGTGCGCGGTACAGTTCTTGAAGGATCCAGTATTCAACACTGCCCTCATCATTGGTTACTACTGGACTACATTAGTTGTTCTCTTCATTCTTTACGGTGGAATCTATAAAACTGCTTATGACATGCAGAAGAAGAGTGAAGCGAAGCAGAGGAAAATGCAATCGATGGTGGCACTGAGCGCTGGTGCGATGTCAGGTATGGCCGGTAGGGCAGCGGGAATTGGAATCTCGAAGACTCAGAGTACGATGCTTAGCCAGGATAAGCCTAAAAGTAGTATTGGAGGTGGTACACAGGGGGCTGAGGGTAATCCCGACGGTCAGGCGGACGATAACAAAGATGGGACGGATACTTTGAACGCGAGAATGTCCTCGTCGCAGTTATCACAGAGTAAAGATTCGTCGAACAAACCAACTTCGAATAATACCACGCAATCGGAGATGGAGAAATCCGAACGATCAAGCAGTCCGGCTTTTGATTCTGACGAGGAGAGCACAGCAGGGGCTGTTACATCGTCTCAGCAAGCTGCTAATCTGAGAAAAAAGTCGTCAGTGGCTGGACTGATGGTGCAGGCCGGTGCTCTGCATGCATTTGCCACTAACGGAAAGATGAATGGCATCGTGCCAGTCAAAGTGGAGATGAATCCTTTGATGAGGAAACCATCGCCGACGACATTGGAGCCTTCAGCAGCACTAAAGACACAGACACTGCCGAAGATCCAGGAGAACAGCCTCGTCGAGACTGAGAATCTTCTTGATCAGTCCATCGAGCACGACAAGTCCAGCAGCACTCTTACACCAGAGCAGTCCCTCCGATCTAACGTCGCTGAGGTAAATCGATGCATCGGGCTCATTGAGGAGACACCACCATCAGAAGTCAAAAATAAAAGTACATCATCGAGCAGTCAACAGATCATCATCTCACCACCTACACAATTTCGCGGTAGCTCACCAGCATCAGATAGCCAGACTTCAACAGCATCCTCAACAGACAGACCAAAGTCCCTATCAACAGGTGGCCCAGGTACGTACGACATATTGACTGGTCTGGATGGTGCAGATTTGAGATACATGGACGAAAGTTCTGTGATCGTACCAAGTCCATCCTTTGAAAGTCCACCATCATCCTTTTCCTGTAGTCTTGCTAATCCTCTATCAACAGCTCCATCATCACCATTGTTGGGACACACTGGTACATCAGCGGCCAACACCAGTTTGCTACAAGCTGCCCTTATAAGAGCAACACAACAGCAAACTGGTACAATCCAACCATTCAATTATCCTCAATTCATTAATGCATCCTGTCAAACTCATCCACCACGTGTTTTTACCACACACCATACCAATGCCTCATCACAAACTTCCCCTATAGTTAGCAAGGTGAACACCGAGGTGACAGTAAAGGAGGATACCAAACGACAACCAGTCACAACTGTTGTCAATACGCCAATTGGATCGTCAAACAGCACAACGACTGATCTGAAAACGAACAATCCACCCCAGTTGTCATCATCAAGTAGTGCTGCACCAACTGTTGTACCAGCAGCAGCTTTATCCTCATCTGCCGATCCTAAGAGACAGTCGAAGAAGGAGGATGAGCAAGAAGGAAGTGGTGGCTCAAGGAGGGACTTTGTCAAATCAATTGGCAAGAGGTTAAAAGCTAAAACAGCTAAGAAAGATCTCATGTTTGGTAGACAAAAATCGAGGACCGAGAATCGTGCACGTAAGGCTTTCCGTACAATTTCTTTTATCTTGGGAGCTTTCGTTGCCTGTTGGACGCCGTATCATGTCATGGCATTGGTCGAGGGCTTCTGCACCCATCGGCCATGCACCAATGAGCATCTCTACATGTTTTCATATTTTCTATGCTATGCCAATAGCCCTATGAATCCTTTCTGCTATGCTTTGGCTAATCAGCAATTCAAGAAGACATTTACTAGAATACTCAAGGGGGATTTCCACATGACGTAAGACATTAGTCTCATCCTTTTGTAATGCAGTGAGCTATACGTCAAAATAAAACAATACAAACATTGAGGGAGAAAAAATTGATCAAACACACATTTGGCACAATAATCAAACGATATTATACATTGGGGGTATGGTGTATGGACAATAATTTCGTCAAGTCTTTTTATTATCGTAGATTGGTAGTTAGTCATGAATAATCTGGTTTCATTAAGAGCAACAGAACACAATATGTTCGATGATTCAGCTTGTAAATATAAAAGAGGTAAGAATGAGTGAAATACGTTTTAAGACCTAAAATCAAAGGTGTACATAATGTATATGTAATGTGTGTATATTTGTTTATCAATTAAAGCGCCAAAGGACGCGCTTTTATGTAACACTGCAGCAGTTAATACCAGTGATTGAATCGATAATACTTGTTTAATCCTAATGCTTTGTAAGCTATAATTAATAGGCATGTAATAGTTAACGTAAAACATTTGATGATTACCGTAGAACTTGAAATAACTGTAAATTAACTGTATATTATAGTTCCGTCGAGCTTTATCTATGAAGCTCGTTACGAAAGACGAAAAGTGAAATAGACATTTTGCGAATGCATTAAGATCTAAGCGTTTATTTATGTTGTGAAAGAAACAATAATATCTTGAAATTAAATCAACACATACACAGAATCTATTGAGATAATCACGGATTTGGTGATGGTGGATCAGCTGATCCGATTTCTTGGTCTGTATGCACTGCCGGATGTGGCCTACCTCGAAAAGGCGCCTTTATCTTTCAACAAACAAACGAACTTCCGAAATCCGTGATCATCTCGACGCAGCGTCATACACAAACAATAAGGTAAAACAAACAAAAACAGACAGTATTGTTTACATTCATTGAGCCCCATGTAGGTGTCATCGAGGATCAATACACGGTATGTAACCCAGTCACGAGGATTGGTACGCTATTACCAACTACCCCGTGTCAATCCTTTTGTGTATTTGTGATAGGATAGGTGGGCGAAGAAACCATTCCACAAATGCAGACTGGTCAACCCAGGTGGGTAAGTGTTGAAGGACTGTGGATGAGTGCCTCGCCCATTCTGAGCCCCATGACGGCTAGGCCCTCACAATAATCTCTTTCACACACTCCACGGTGGTTGAATCCTCCACACAACAACTTTTACGCTTAACTTCTCAGTCCAACGGGAGAAAATCGATAATAGATGTAGAACAGTAATGGACCGTGTATCACTGTCCCATCCTTCTCGTTTACCTTTTGTGGAAAAAAAATGCTTATAATCGTATTATGCTGTTTCAATTATATTGGCAGACACGTCGTACACACAGAAATCATTTCTAGCTTAATCAATTTCTTTTTGTTTCACTTCGCTGGTCGAAGTCTCCCAATTCATACTTGATTTTTATTATTTCTCTTTTTATTCCATCGCGGGTTTCATTAATGTAGACATTATGATGTAGAATCGTTCATTTGGAAAGTGTCAATTGAATCGATCAACAATTGTTATCGACTCTTTTGTAAATATAAACCTGTAGTGGAATGATACGTAAGTTATTATATTAAAGGTATCATGTTGTTTAGAATTATTATGTACTAGGGGGTGTAGAGTTATCAGATTTATTGACTAGAGCTCGTAGTTGTAGGCAGTTTGTAATTTGCGACACTGCGGCCAAGCACCATGATGAGCCTATAGCTAATGGGTGTAATGTCATTTAGCTATTATTTATGGTTATTGAGGAAAAATTATATAGGTGATTATGGAGAGAGAGGGGACGTTAAAGGGTATCATTTTTTTATCTCCAACTCTACCTCATTAATCGAAAAATTGTAATGTATATGCAGGCCTCTTAATTTTTTCATTCAATTAACATTAAAAAGATGAAGATTATTTCGTATGAAAAATATAAAGACGCAACTATTTGCTTTCAATTTGGTATTCATTGGTTTGCATAGAAAACTCCGAAATTATGAAAATGCACATCTATGGATACATTTGGGACTGGCGATGTTAATTCGTCACTCTCCGGCGTTCATTGGCCTAAATCATTGAAATTTACAACGCTTCTACGCTTTACTCTGCGTAGCCGTGTCACCATGGTAATTAATACGATGAGAGTATGTACAGCATTCAAACATATGTAGATTGATTTTTAAAAAAATCAATCAAAGAGTAAAATAATTGATTGTGGTAATGAAGAAGACTATGAATAGTCGAATTTAGGACTATGTGTAAATAATTGAGAAAAGGATACTCTGATGCATGAGACTATGTTCTGTGCGTGCTTTGCCCGACAATCTCATGATACGCATATAATGATAGAGCAATTATTAATAATAAACAACCATTTCATGTGATCGCAAGTACTCTGAGATTGTACTTGTACGAATTTTAATTTTCGCGCTGAAGAGATGGATAATAAACCAGGTTCAAAGTAGCATAAGCTCCTATTATTATTAATACTCGTTAATGAAGTAGTCATTGTTTTTCATTTGTAATGCATCGCAGCATTGAAGTGGTATATACTTAGAGAATTCGGAAATGTACGTAAAGAGGAAACAATAAAGTAATATAATGTGATGAAGAATAATGGAAGTATGGATATTGGAGATTGTTATTTTTTAGGATGGGTATTCCATAAAATTATATTCTTCCTTTAGAGTATTGTGTCGCATGCTATTATATCATATTCTATTTATTCCATATCGAAGTAATTATTGATATATACAAAAAATTGGTATCATAATTGACTTACGTTTTGTTCGTGGCGATAAACCCATTCTTGAAGTTCTTGGAATTATCCTTTTTAAATTAGGAACTTGAAAATTTTGTCTCACAATTGGAAACATTTTGTTGAAGTTGCTGGAAATCCACGTCTTAGACTTCACGAAGATTCATAAATCTTCACTGAAAGTTCTTTATTATCTTCAGTTGATAGCACTTCGTTAATTTTATTCATTTTAATGAGAAGTTTTCCGACAGCTTGATCCAAAAGTATCTTCTTGAACTCAAGTGTAAGCATCATCCCTCGTAGTTGAGAAATGTTTATTTATCTCCATTAAAAGTTGGTCATTGACTTCAGTTGGTAGATGAGTTGCCGATTTCAATCAACTTTTCTATTCTATTCTATTTTATTCCGTTGTAATTCGAAGATTAATTATTATTTAATTGCATTTTTGGCGATTGTCCTAAATAAGCTCGTGATATTAATGCATCGAGTGGTGGGAACAAGAGCCTTCAACCGCAGGTACAATCGCAAGTGGTCTTTTCGAATTTCCATGCATGACCGATTTACGTAAATCCTTATGACGTTGCATTCACATCTCGAGTACGTGCATGTATGAATCCCAGTCGCCGGCAATATTACGCATCAGTGACGCAGACTCCCATGTGCCACAACAACAGCTGTTGCTTATGATTCGAAATGAGATTTTCCTGTTTAAAATCTGTGCTCCGCGGAATAGAGACTCGCAGTGATTCTGTGACTGCGTGATAAGGAGGATGTGCGTCATCGAGGGGCGGTTTGAATTTTCTTTGACATTAAATAGTGAGATTTCGAGATGAAGACGTTGAAGTTTTGGAAGAGGAGACCCAAGGCGGAGGAAAATGTTGTGATGAGGCAAAGGGAGCATCCGAGGCTCAGGAGACTGGTATCGTCTAGAGCGTAAGTGTATTTTCTGCAGTTGAAATCATCCTAACTCAATAAACCACAGCTTAGCAATCACTACGACTTACGGTTTCTCCGAGACCCAATAAATCATCCGAGCGAAAATGAGAAACTCACCGCTTTTTTATTAATTTCAATTTCTTTCCATTAACTAATTCGTACAAAAATTATATTCAACCAGAAATTTATTTGTAACTACTTTTTATCAGGGAGTTAATAAATTGCTTGCTAAATAAAAAGAAAACGAATGAGCTATCGAGCTATCACTTTTTGAGAAGTCAGGTAACTTTTCGCTTACTCAGAATAATTACCGTCGGTGTCGCAAACCGCCAGGAAAAAATAGATAGTCTATTTTTCTCATTGAGAATGGATCCATTCTGTCTTTCCACATCACTCACGGCCTTCAATCTCCCACATTCTTCAAATCTGAAAGTATTTCTGTACCGAGGCGAAAAAATCATTTAACTGGGACTGACATGGAACGAAATTTGTCCTCAAGACTTTAACCTTCCTTCTATTCAATCAAAAAAATCATCATAAAATTTTCCGCAAATTCAATTCAATTCTCCAATTGCATTTATTTTTTATCTAAATTGCACAAATCCTACAAATTACGGTAAAAACCTCTCCCACTCATCTCACCCATTGAACCACAAAATTCTTAGAAGTACTCTGTATTCAACAATAACAATACTCATGAGGCACCTCACGTGCGCAGTTGAACGGTTGAAAGTTCAATTAGTGCTCATTTAATTTCCCGGTAACCCGTGAATATACCAAAATATCTTCATACACGTTAATTGGCAATCGTCATTCTGCGAATTATGTCTGGAATAATTGTATTGTCGTTTTCCCTAGAATTTATCCTGGTTGAACAAGCGGTAATTAATTGTGTGAGCGATCAGCCCATTGCGTTGAAAATCCATAATTTTTCCCTCAATAATCCCACTGATTAGAATCGCCAATCAATTCGCTGATTGTCCCTAAGCACATATCCCTCCAATTAGAAAGCTCAATATTTTCGCCAACGTCATCAAGACACGCTTTCAGCGTAAATTATCTGCCAATAATTTTTCTCGCATTACCATTGAATTTATTCTTCAGTTGTCCAAGTGAATGTATTTTCCGTTTATTTACGATTGACGTGATTGGCCTCTCCAGACTAATTACCGTCAATGTTAATTTTCGCAATGTAATAACACGCGTAATTTTTCAATCTCCAATGACGGCGAATAATTGCAGGAACGGAAGTAGTTTTCACGAACACAGGCGTCGTTTGTATAATTAAAGCACTCAGGGCAAGAGAATCATTCGTTGCAACAAGTTATGTCATGAGGTGTATTATTATTCCCTAGGATCACGTAAAGAAGGTGAATATATCGGTAAAAGAAGGATATTCGATGTTTATTCCAGTCACGGAGATTCCTCTAACGCTATTGTGCACCTGAGAGAACACGCGCGACGTGTCACGTTGGTCCTTTATTCTTGGGTCGATTGTTATGAGTTTTGTATGTTATTGATACAAAGGATTACAGCAGACAAGATACAACGAATATTACGTGTGTCTGACTTTGTCAACTTCCGGAGAGTAATTTTGGACACGTATATTATTGCTACGCTGCAGGTGATATTTACCGTTGGGGGACCCCTTTCGAGGACTCTTCATTTTTACGATTACACTCTTCATTATTTTATTACAGAGAGAAATAAAAGTATTGAAGAAAATCGACAGGATTACAACAAAATTTTGCACAAACATGACAATTGAAAAATTCAATGACATGTGGAGTGTTTTAAGAGTTTAATTCCGTGTTGTTTATTTACGTTTTTTACAAAGTTAAATTTTTAACTCAAAGTTTTTTGCGAAATTATGAAATGGATGAGTTTGGCAAATGTAATGCTGCATTCCCTGAGTGACTATTTTAAAATGGAAAAAAAATCGAAGGAATTCATTGAAGTTTTATGCAGAAGTTCATGGGCACAAAGAAACTATAATAACATCTTTTTTACAAAGCTAGTAGTTTCAGTTAGTTACGGAGTAGACCTGAAATTGATTTCGGGCTTCCCTTTGCTCACTCCTTCACAAAAGAATTCATGATTTGTTCTGATTTTCTTTATGAATTATTCTAAAAAATTCCGCCTCCATAACGCTATTAATTTATAAATGCGGGATCATCCATTGGAAACAAAAGTAATGCACTCGGGGAATCTAGAATTCGATCATGATAAGAGAATAATTCGTTTGAAAAAATTACATTAGACTACATTGGCGTAGAAGAGGAAGAGCATCGGTTTGAGGAAAGACTAAAAAAAAATAAAGAATAATATTCCAAAAAATGTATTCGATCCAGAAAAATAAATCAATAGTTCTCTCACCCGCGCCAGTTCTTCACCGAAATTATTTTCCCCAAAGTCAGGGTAAAGGTAATTTTCGAGGGAAATACCGTCTACAACAAAATTATGCAAATAGTCAGGATTGTCTCTAAGTACCCACATCTCTCGAAGCGTATGAAGATAAAGGTCGACCAGAGAAGCATAATAACCCAGTGCACAGGAAGTACAAGCAAGTACAAAGTGGGGGATAGTCGGAAAATGGAAAGTCCCTTCAATGACCCCTGCATTCCCCCTGTTAACGCCATTATGGTTTTCTTCCCCTCTTACGTGCGTGTTCACTTACATGATTCAGTCCGAATTCAACTACCGTACGCGTTACATCATACGTCGAACCCTGAAAATAAAAAAAAAAACGACTTCTCCAAACAAAAGATCTGCCGTTATCTCCAAAAATGTAGATTAGCGGCGTAAAAAGTCGGGATATTTTAGCGCGTGCTATTTTACGATTCCTCTTAAAATTCATAATTTGTGATAGATATTGATTAATCATGTTGGAACCAGTGAACAAACAGTTCTGTCGGCGCCACCCCTCGCGACAGAACAGGCGTTCGGTGAAAAAAGGAAAGGCTAGAGTCAGCCGTCCCCAAAAAAAAATATTACTGTCAATAATGACTGACACCGAACTCGAAAGTGACGTGAAAATTCCCGTTTATTCATGCCAAAATAAAATGAGGCGTAAAGAAGTTGAGGCATTGGAAGCTATCAGCATATCCCCCTTTATGAGCCTGACGGTGGAGGAGAAACCGATTGTTCAGAGTACCAATTGGACTCTCATTCAGAGTGAAGATAGCCCGCGAATCGTGAAACTTAATGCATCAGTGCAGACAGATTGCGACTCGGGAGTAATCAAATGGTACAGTAAACTCAAACGAGATATTTTGAAGAGCATTCGGACCAGAGTGTGTCCTGCGGCCGATAGCAGGTGAGTGCAATTATTTTCTGACGTAAAGAGCCATTGAATGAACAATTCACGAAATAATTTTATTAATTCGTGAGTTGTGAATAGTTGTTGGATTTAGTTACTGGTAAATTTAGCAAATTGTTGTTATATTTTTTTTAATCACTAATTACTCGGAGTTTGTGCTCTGCACGTGGGTGGGAGTTTAAAGACCCCCGGAAACGGCAAATGGATACTTCAATGACCGGTAAAGCACAGGTGAGTCACTCCCCTAAACGATACCCACACGAAATATAGGAGAGTGAAGAGTTTACGTATGCGTGCGTCACCTACTTACCTAGGTGCGTGTTTATTGTTGTTGTTTGTACGCCCACACGTTGCCACATGCGTGTCGTCCATCTGCATCCGTGTGAAACCATGGGCTTGTTAATGGACTTCCTCCTGGTGCACCCAACCTTGACGAGGGATCCACACCGTGATTTCATTGTCGTATCTTTTGCAATGGCCCACCTGGGCTTAATGTTACCTGAGAGAGAACAACATAGACGTCCGGTTGTTTATTGATCAAGAGAAATTTTCATGGACCCCAATATCCAGAAATGCAGGTGAATTTGACCCACCGAAAAATTACCGTCTGGATGACTTTCGATTATTAATTCCCGATGAATTTGTTGAATAAATAAAATCACTGACTGCGATTTTTAATGGAATTATTTTGTGTTCACTGAAAAATTTTTTCTGGACGATTTATAATTGAGTCGTTTTTCTGGGCTTTCACACTATTTCCTTTAGATAAGGTCCTTTGTGAATTCGAGGTTGAAGAGGATGAAAGGATACCATTGTATTTATGTCGAACCTTTTATTCTTCGTGAAAAGTCCTTTAATAGAAATGAAATAGATTTTTTACTTCGATGGAGCACTTTAGTAAACGTGGTTGAAATAACCCATCATCATTTCTGAAATTCTCGTATTAGTTTTTCAAGCAAAACGTAATTCTAAACGAAAATTCCCCAGCTCGAATCGTCAAGTAAGAGGAATAATTCAAGATTATCAAGATTCAAGATGTTTTGATTGTGATTCGTTTCTTCGCAATCTCTTACAGCAATTATTTGACTTTCATCATAATTATGAGGTGTAATTGTTTGCTTAAGAGATGAAGCAGCCAATCTGAGCCATGAGTTTCCATTGAAGAACAAACAATTAATGCGCTACAATTGTATCATTGAATCATAAACAATTCAACCAGGTAAACAGCTTCTTCCTTCAATAGATTAAACCGCCAACTAGATTCAGAATCCGCTCTTGATCACTTCGTTGATCCACCTGTTGTAATAAGCAACTTTGGTGTATATCCCTGGGAACATTCCACAGATGCCGAAAGAAACAATTCCATAGATTGTTGTATTGGAAGCTAAAGGCCCTCCTGAGTCCCCTCTGCACGAATCGTGTGTTGCACGAAAATAACAGAGATGGGTTTCGTCGGTCACTGTGTCACGATACATTGAAAAGTTATTCCGACATTCTTCTTGCGGAATGAAGTCCAACTCCACCATTTGCAGATTTGTTGAGACCGGCTGAAATGCCATGAGATTTTTTTTTATCCATTGATAGAACTGATCGAAATTTCATGCCGATTTTTCAGACGCAATCCTCTTCTGGTGTTTATGTTTTTCGATTATATTTACATAAACAAGTACTAAACGTACCGTTGCGTAAGTCGCACCCCATCCAGTTACCCAAAGTTTGCTCGGGGGTTGTTCACCCTCCCTAGGCAATTTGATGGGTTGAAGAAGTCTCGAGAATCTGAATGCGTTTTTAGGTCGGAGCAGAAGAATGTCATTCTCCGGGACACCCATAGCGTTCATCTTAGTACTGTAAAAGTAAACTGCCTTCTGCAGAAATCGGATGGAACCGCTATTCAAGTAGGTCGAACCCCCTCGAATGTAGTAATTGCAAGGATTCTCCCCTTCTGGTCTGGAAGTTCAATTAATTCATTCATTGCGAATTTATAATTTGTTACTGCAATAACTCACAGACAGTGACTTGCAGTCAAGACCCAATATTTATTAAGAATGCTTCCACCACATACAAATCCCTTCCGCTTGTGATTCAAGGATACCTGCGACCGGAGTTATTAAATTAAACTAATTAAATTATATTAAACGAATCCAAATAATAATCCAGACAAAAATTAATAATAACTTCAAAATCTAAATCCAAATGTTGACGAAAATGGTGTAAGTTTCTAATCTTGAATATAATCTGAAAAATTGAATACGCACCATAAACGGTCGATTTTCAATCCTGATGGGAGACCCATTGAAGATTCTGGGCCTCACTGTGTCTTCAAGATGAATTCCAAAAGCAATACCCCCTGAAAAATATTTATAATCGTGTATCCACCGGCGATTGTAGAACCTGCCGACTTACCAAGGAGACAAACAATTTTCAAAGAACACATCTTTCCGAATAATTTAAAATGAAACTATCGAGCGCTTTATACGAACGGAAACAGTCGTTAAAGTCATGAAGACAGCAGACATAAAAAATACGAGTACGTCGCAGTGATTTAAAGAGGTTCAAGATAGAAAGAATGAGTAATGTATACATGAAACAGTCACGAAATTTTTCCCAGATTTATTGCCAATCGTTTGTTGATTATTTCAAGAATCATGAGCGTAATTATACTATTTTAACGCAGTTGTATATTTCATGCCGAAGATTTAATGATCCGCTTTGATTTTTTTCTCCCTAGCCATGTGATTTTTTTAATCCAATTCCTGTAGTAGACGACATTGGCGTATACTCCAGGGACTGTTCCACAACCTTCGCCGAAAGAAACAATTCCGTAGATTGTCGTATCAGACGCCAAAGGCCCTCCGGAATCTCCCTGACAGGAGTCGTGATTCTCACGAAAATAACAGAGATGACTTTCATCGGACACTGCCTTATGATACCATACAGAGGCATTCAGACATTCTTCGTAGGGAATGAAATCAACCTGCACTATTTGCAAAATAGGCGAAAGACTCTGGAATTAAAAGAAACTTAAATATTCCAAGTAGCGAGTATTCAAGAATGTCTTTAGTCAATCTAATCCAATTTGCACATGAATAATTTTCATACCTTCATACTGGTTTCCCCCCACCCTGCCACCCAGAGCTTTTTCGGAGGACGTTCGTCCACTCGGGGCAATCCGACTGGCTGGAGCTTTTGCGAATATCTGAAAGGTTTTATAACTCGCAGAAGAAGAATATCGTGCTTTGGGATGCTGAGAGAATTCACCTCGGGACGCTTGTAGCCAATTGCCTCCTTCAACCAGTGAAGGGAACCGCCTTCGTCGAGAAATGTTGAGCCAGCCCGAACATAATAAAACCGAAGATCCTCACCCAGTGGCCTGAAAGCCCAATCAATCCAATCGTTACTTACCAGTTATATTCTCCGAAAGCTGTTTTAATTTGGGGTAATTACATGCAATGATACGCAGTTAAAATCCACTTTTGGTTAATAATACTTCCACCACAGACAAATCCGCGGAACTCATGATGTAATGCGACCTGCGAATAAATTATCATATTGAGAAACAAAAAATAATTCAAATAATTTCATTCCGAATGAATAATTCGATGAATCATTTTAATTAGATGTAATTATATATTTTCTAATTGACTTTGAATTTGGTATTAGAATTATGTATGCACCACAAACGGTAGTTTGTCGATGGTAATAGGAAAGCCATTCACAATTCTAGGGCTCGTAGTATCTCCAAGATGAATTCCAGTAGCAATAAAGCCTGGAAAATATAATAATTTATTAACCAATCTTTAGTAATGATGAGTGTTAACTTACCACAGAAGCAAATAATTTTCGAAAAACTCCGCATTCTACCGAGTTTTGAAGTGGTGATTGAAAACGAGAGTATCGAGTACTTTATATGAACTGAGAACATCGTAAAAGTCACGAAGAGTCATAAAAACTATCATTACATTCGTATATTAATTCAAAGAGATAGACCTTACAGTTTAACTAGTTCAAGATAAAAAAGAATGATTGATACGGTGAAACACTTCTCAGTTTTTATTGTCGTTTACACGTACATTATTTCCACAACCACCAGCGCAATTATTTTTCTAACAACTATAAACCGATATTGAGGATGATTCATATAATATTGAAATAGATAAATTCGTCATTAAACATTTTTCTTATTTCGAAAGCAAGTGTCGGAATAATTAAATGAGTAGAAAGATCTACGATTCCTGTTGTATGTGGAAATCTCTCAGCTTTTGGTTTAAGACTCTTTCTCCCACGATTCGTGATCATAACCACTTGTAACTATTTCAGGACCCATCTGAGAAATCTGAAACAGAAATGGTCTTGTTCGATCTATCTGATCACGATACGAGAATCTGGAATCACTTGCTATTTTGATTTTCTACCGGATGCGGAGAAACTGTTGGTGATCCAAACTCGATGTTACGTTCGGTTCGATAGATAGCAGCCGCTAAGACAGTGATGCATTCATAAAACATCGTGGCCAGAAGGAAAGTGTTAGCAAGCGAAGTAATTGTACTTTGTCTCCGTAACAATTTCGCATTACCCAGACGTTTCAATGAATTCATCAGGTTCCGTGCCGCTTCTGCGCGTGGAATAACACCTGGAAGAAATCATCCATTCCGTTAAATCAATAGTATTGTACTTGTTTTTTTTTTAAGACACGCTACTAGTAGTAGAGTGTGTAAAAAATAATATAATGGTTTGATGAATAATGTACTAAATATACTTTTCGAATGATCGGAGTAAGAAATCATGGAATCAATATCAATAAACACTTCTTGAAAATATTTTTCCGATTTAACATTCGACATTTTTTTTTTAAGGCATTCAATTATTTTCATAGGCACTATATTTTATTAGTTTCTATGTTTGAAATGAAAGTCTCACGATTTTTCATTTGCAAAATAGTTATTTTTTTACCACGTCTTGCGGGGGCTTCCCCCGACTCGTGAAAATCGTCCAGTTTATTTATCCAGCCATTTGAAAACATAAATTCGATTTCATCCGATTTTCGGAGACGCTCTTCTTTATTTGGCTGATCTAGTGGATCTCCTAATTGTTCATGTCCTTCTTTGTCTATTACTGGTGTAGCATTTTCTGGTAGATCATGTTCCAAATTTTCTGGTGGTGTCCCATCAGGTTTCAATATACTTGGGCTTGTCCCATCAGGTTTCAATATACTTGGGCTTGTCACATTAGGTTTCAATATACTTGGGCTTGTCCCATCAGGTTTCAATATACTTGGCTTTGTCCCATCATTCATCGGCCTAGCTGGTTTTTGTAAACTTGGATGACTGTGATCAGAACCCCCAAATCCGAACCAAGGTCCTATAATAGAGTCGACAAATTCATCAAAACATCTCATAGTTCTCACATGCTCCGAGGAATCAATTCCTAAAAACCGCGACATTGACTTGACCAGAGTTCCCTCCACAGTATTGATAACTGTGCGAACATCATTAATTGCTCCGAAGGCAACCCTCGCCAGATGTTGCTTATACGTTTCCACATTGTTAGTCATCCTCAGATACATATCTCTCGCTCGATGACTTCTCCCAGCAGTTTTGCTCAATTCATCTTGCGCTTCAACGCTTCGATGATATATATAAACGTAAGTTTCGATTTCATCAAGAGCATCAGCACCCACTTGACTTTGCAGCATGAGTTCTATCATATTCCGTATCATCTTCTGGGCCTCTCCAGCAACTGTTGTCAGCTTCGGATAATTACCCAGGAATAATGTATGATTGGAATTGTCACCAGACTGGTCGGATATGAAACACGTCATCGTCGAGGCTTTATGGTCGAGTTTGCAGCTGTCATTGAGATCTCCAATACTCTCAGTAAGTTTTACAGCAGAAGGCCAGAATTTACGACTGCGATAAGCCCTGAGGGCTTTTCGTTCTGCAGCCTTTTCCATTCTTTTAACTGCACAACCATCAATCCTTCTCAATTCCTTTAAACATTGGTAATAGGCTTCAGTTGTAGGTGTGACCATTTGACATGCTACCGCTTCGTACGTACTGTACGTTTTCTGGTTTAACGGGGGATGGCGAGGAATCGGTTTTCTCAGACGGCTCTTAACTATCGCGGCTGCACCTTCTGGTGGATATTTTATGATGTCAATAGCTGCTTTAGGAAGGTTGAAATAAGGTTTTGGTGACGATAGACATTGACGAACGCCAATAATGTAATGTTTCCAATCGTTTATGAAAATCGGTGTCCTCAGGACACGGCGAATATTATACTTTTCCCGATTTTTAGACGTTAACGATTCTCCGGAAAGATAGCCTTTTTTCAGGTACTTATTCTTTTGACAATATTCTTTGAAATTTGATACTGATTTTGACGCCAGGGGAATCAGTTTCCATGGAAATCGGTATAGTTCATGATAAACTGAATCTGCAAAATAAGATCGCTGATTATCGTGGACAAATTTGAATACGGAATCCAACGAGTAATAACGAGTGGTTGTAGAAGTGACGATCATCTCCGGAAAAGGTTGATTCATGATTCCAAATTGTTCTGATAATTTATCGATATCATTAAGAATGCACGATCCAATAGCCGTAATATTCCAATTATTATGCGATCCATATCCATTCTTCAATTTTACGTTGTGGATTGATGTATAACTCGAAGGTGTAAGAAAGTTTTCCAATACACTATCAAGTGTCTTATCTACATCGCGGAGAATGGTCTGATTCATGTGGAAGTCGCGGAATACATGATGTTGATTTTCTCCCTGACAGAATACCCGGCTCGAAACCCCTGCACATCCACATGGACAATTTATTTAACATTGTTACCATTTTCTAATCAAGTTTTATAGACTTACCGATGAGCAACGTGACCAGCACCCATACACACATGTTGCAGTAACTGAATTTTTGCTTGTAAATGTTCCTTTTTATAGCGTAAATTCTCAGAAAATTTAAGTGACATAAAAAAGTTAGTTGGCCACAATATTTACAGGCTTTAATAGACAATACGATAACTTTGTGTTACAGATCGTTTACCACTGCGAAATCTTGACTTTACGTTATTTATGGCACAATAAACAACGACCAAATTATAGCCGAGTTTTGATGATAAGCCATTGCTCTAACTTTGTCATTGATTTTCAGAAAATTTATGGGAGGTGAAGCATAATGTGGTCGTTTCCAATTAATGGGGTGATAAAACTGTCGTTTCCTAACGATTTGCGACTAGCGCGATGGTTCACAAGATCGAAGGGATCGGTCCTGAGGATATTTCCACTTTCTCTAAGTCCCTGGCACTTTGGAAGAAATAATTCGGGATCGATGGCATCCTGAAACATTACGGCAATCGGATTTTCGTCAAATCTATCCGTGATCCTCATGTACACCTCTTGAATCAGATAGGGACCGATCGGAGTGCTGCCTAAACCTTTTCGATCGATTCTTCCCGATCTTTCGACGTCTCCTAAACGTGGGAGTGCTATTCTACCAAAAATGGGAGAGAATCATCGGATTTTTACGTGCACATACGTGGATGGTGAGAACTCGAAATAAAAAAAATTGTATATATAATCTATAGCATATCGAAGAGAACTCGAAGTTCGTATCGAAAATCAATCGAAACGTCGTCCCTCATGGGGTAATGAAAAATTTAAATTTAAATTTACCCTCCACTTTAGGCGATTCTTTTTTATTTAAATATTATGATAGGTTGAGTTTATTTCGAGAAGCAGATTTGTCATGAAACTTGTAAGAAAAATCCGTACGATCACCGATGTATGATATGATTGTTCTGATATCGCTGTTGTTATCAGTAGATAAAGTCAATAGCATAGCGCGACCTTTGAATCGCCGGAGCGTGTCGCCATCTCAAAACTCAGCCCCAACTGTTTCGTCAGTCTTACTCAATACCAACTGAATCTACTTGTGACTCCAGTAAGTGTCTGACAGCCGGCATCCTTGGCCCAAAATATCCGGCTCTCACTGAGAAATAATACACAATCGTTGAAAAGTAACTTCAGCAATTAATTCAGTACTCAACAATTACTTGTATACACTACTCCCCTTCTCTACTTTCCCGCTAAAAAATTAAATAAAAATTTCAATTTCGATCAATCGAGTCATTGTTCGCGATTTTTATTGTGCCTGATCAGCGTAAGAATAAACAAGTAGAAAAATGGATGAGGAGGCGATGTGGAAAGGTTTCTATCACAAGATTGTGGAAGAAAAGGAAGCGAAAGAACGAGAGAGCAGAGAGAAGACTGATCATGAACTCAGGTAAAACAATTGTTTACACTTTAAACGATCGAGCTTTGATTATTTATTGTGAATAACTATTATTTTTTAGACAGCTTGGGAATTCAAAAGTGAGTCTGAGCAATCGTTGAATTTATTGGAAGTTAATTTTTATTTTTACTGTTCGAAGGGATTGTCGATTAATTATCCGTTTATTTATTGATAGGTATTTTTTTTTGATGATGTAGGCATCGGTATAAGATACTGGGGATGATATCATTGAGATTTCCACGAGGTGACCGCTCTGAAGTGGCAAAAAAGAGAGACGTCAGATTCTTATAAAGCAATCGTGACGCAAATCTCAGGCTTTCGGAAGGCACGCCTCTTCTATTCTCGTTCGTATACTTGAATACCGGTACCAAAATTACACAAAAGCCAGTCATCTGTAGTTGTACAGTAGGCGATAAATGTATGCGCACACTTTTTAATTACATCCTCGAAGATCTGTCGTCGAAGGTCGGGGTGCATGAATCATAGTACACCTCGGAGCGTTATGCATAAGTGATTTGACTACCGTAATTGGTTCAGGGAAGCTGTATTATGTGGCAACGTGATATGAATACAGCGCGAAATATTTTTCCAAATGATTATTGATTTTTAAACGAAACGTTCAATTTTTTTCATATTTTTTTTCAATTGAATATGAAAGAAAATTGAATTTTTCTACTGAATTCTCAAAATAATAAATTATTTAATTTTCCATTATATATTGTATAAATTCATGACATTGGTAATTACTGCGAAAGATTTCTTTACCCAGTCTACGAAATTGTGAATTTATTTATTGTTGTAATTATTTGCGGAAAATTGTAAGTGTGCGATGAAAATAAAAATACAACTCAATTTTACCACGGAATTTTTCACATTTTCAAGGTTTTTAATTGAAAGTAATTGTCTAATATTGCACACCCTCAATTGGCGCATGCAAACACTTGCGAACTCCAGGAAATGTGCCGTCAATAAAATAAAACTCACGTGATAAAGTGCATCATCCATTCAATTACCCCATAAAGAAAGGCTTGGATCATGTAATCGCTTTAACCCGCGATATAATGCCCTCTAACATTCCGCAAATGCGTCTGAAGTTTCAGCCTACGGCAATTGATTTGCACACGGCTGTTTATTTTTTAGTGTAAAAATTTCTCAGAAGGTCAGCCCGAGGAAAATGGTCTGCTTTAGCGAATCGATGCCAAGGATGAAAACACATTCTTCTGGAGAAAAATAAATCTCCGAGTGTCTAAATTCTCATCATCCCCCTCCCCACTGAATTCTCGTGGTATCATCGGATACAATGATAAGCCACCATGTATTACCGATCAAACATAAATAAATGGCTCATGACAATTGACAAGAGCGAATGTCTTAGACTCATATCTCACATCGTGTAAACAAACCGCGGAGTTATTTAAACGGCGTTGAATTATTTTTTTGGGGCGAAATTAATCATGCATGTGTGTCTACAAATGATACGACATAGACGCGTATGCTCGACACTTCAAGTATGTGTAAACAAAATAGTGAATGAATTCTCACGTCGCTGGAAGAGTGGAAGGTCTGGACGATAGTTTGTTGAGGTATTATCGTTATCATGAAAATCGCATCTCCGGGTATACACCTTTCGCCTGAACAATTTCAAGAAATAGAATTCAGTCTGCGATGGACTGTGATACCAGTACGAATATTCATCCTCCCATATCTGTTCCGCAAATGTGATATTTATAGTAATTATGTAACATTACGGGCTTGATTGAGCACTTGTGATTGTGATTGCGAAAGCGCTTTTAGTTAAGACAGAATATTTTCGTCGGACTATCATCTCTGGATAATTAACTCTGAATTTTCTAAGGATAAGGGGAAAGGCGACAATGGCGCATTTCGCTAAGTGCGATACCAAACATCCTTACTATGCGATTGCTGCATTTCGTATGAGCCAGAAAAGGGAAGACAAGCCGGTTACTGTAGGCAGTATTTATTGGAAATTCGCTGCGCATAATTTTCTGCACAAAAGGTGATATCCAGTGTGGAGGTTTGCATTGGGAAATGATTTTGTGTTGGTCTAGTTGCATCCTATTTTTTTGTAGCATACAATTTTTTTATAAAAAATTGGAAAATAAATTGAAATAAGGTAGAGCTTGATTCGCTTGCCTTTGAATAAATGGTAAACCACGGTAAGTCAATTCTCACCAGAAAATTGACAGGCATCAAGTCGAAAATCGCGGAGAATTATTGTTTGGGCAATCATTTCGAAAATACCCGCGATGGGACTAATTAATAAATTTTCCATTAATCCAAATTTATCGTTACTCGAGAAAATTAACACTTGATTGCTTTTAATTAAGTGTCAATTATCATCCATCACTGCTTGTTTATCAGTCATACTCAGGGGAGAGAAATTACTATTTTATCGTCAGATTAATGGTTTAAGTGGATTAAATGTTTTTCATGAATGACGAGATACCTGGGAATAATTTATTTTTCTTTTTCTTCGGGGGGAGAAATATTTTTTTTTTAATGGGTAACCTTTTCTGTAATAACGGAGCGTAATGTAGCTAAATAAAATTTGACGGAACCGTTCTAGAATTTTTGCGAAGCTTTCCGTCATCTTTATTAAATATTTCTCTCCACATTTAGCGTGGGACCGATAAGAAAAATCATGAGAATTTTTGTTATGAAGTTTTCGCCTGTGTTTTTGTTAAATTAGCGTTAGCCATTTGTGTGTATTTTCGTAGAGATGAATTCCGCATGAGAATGTTAAATTCTACGACATCTTTGAGGCATGATTTCTAATATGTTTAGACCAATTATCACGTACCGAGTTATAATGGTTCACAGCATTTTGCCATGACGCAAGTGAAGTAGGCCAGTAATCCTCGTACGTGATTGGGCTTACACACTCATTAAAATGATTAAATTATTGATTAATTATTGAATATTGGCAGAATCCAAGAGTCTGACGGAGGATTCTTCGAGAATCTGGGAACGCTTTTGGCGGAGAAGGCTCGAGCTCAGGAAGCGGTTGAAGGGCCCTTACCTCAAAGGTGCTCACAGAGAGACGATGATGAGGATGAGGATGAGACGAGTGAAGGCACCATTGAGGAACCCACAGAGGCACTTCTGGAATCCGACAGTGACAGGGACGAGAATGAACGAGCACTTGATATTGTTGTCGGCTCCGTTGGGTGGAACGTAAGTGATCTGTTATGATATTCTTAATCATCATGGACAATGTCAGTACACATGCCATTGTACAACTCAACTGAGGGCCAACGTCACAAACTAAATTGACCAGAACGAAATTCATTTCCTTGAAAATCAACTGGAAAATTCACCATCTGCATAAAATTTTTAATAGCGTATTTAACAAACTTCAATGCTCGATGTATCATGTCCTGCCACTTAAATCCACCCATTTAGATTACCCATGAGAGAAATTAACTGATAATCTCCGCGACATTTTACCTCATTAATCGTTATCACAACTACTGTCAGAATTCATAAACTCTGAAATCCCACATTAAATGCATCCCGTATCGTAAATTTCATCGATAAATCATTCAATATCTCAGAAAAATGCTCCATATTTCTAGAACTACGTCAACATCATCTCCAGACAATCCAGCAGTGTTCGAAGCAACACGTTTAATTATCCAATGAGAGACAGTAAGACTTCAGAATAGGTGGGATTTCGCCCAAAGTTCACAAGTTTATTCTGAACATAATACCGATAAATTGGTTGAAAGGACAGATTGGGGTTGTGAATGTCCCTCAATTATACACTTAAGTGTAATGAGTGTCTCGGGAGACAACCGTAACTCTGACAATGAATTGAGATCCATTTCAAGGGTGGCTATTCCAGGCGACTTTAGAATTTCGAATGCAGAGAAATGCCGGCTGTAGATTTGGTGGGCCAAGGGTACTAGGTCGGGATGGATGGGGAATTGTAATCACTCCCGAGTCATCTCGGGATGATTCGGGCTTTAGCGCTTGTCTTCGTGTGACGTACGTGGTGCAACACCACCACGAGGAGTCGGTGTTTGACGGGCATTAGCTATTCCTGGCAGTATTCAGTCCGACTCCGTCTCGTTTTCTCGGTCCATCTTTTTTTCATTCTTATTCTTCTTCATGCTCCCTTCGCCGGTGATTGATAATACTCTCCCTGGAGGGTAAACCAGTGAAACCGTGGACTCTGACGCGTGCGACAGCATGGGAATATCCTCGCTTCATATTCGTTGACGTTCAATCTGCGTTATGCCAGTGATATTAGGGGTTTAAGGCGATTACTCTTCATGATCTTCACCGGTAATTTGCTCAAGTGGGTGACAAAAGATGGATCAAGTGTTTGTAGAAATTGGGACGATGTGAGAATTTTTTTTATTTCAGGTCATCCTCATTCGTACATTTTTCAATTAGCGGTGAACGTTATATTAGATGTGAGGAGTAAAAAATATTTTTTTAATTCTATCAAAATAGTTTGAGTTTGAATTCTATCAAATAGTAAGAGTGAAGTGTTAATTAAATTAAATCTAAGGATTATCTTTCAATATTTATTGCTTTCTGGCAAAATTAATCAGGCCGAACTTCAAACTTTGCGAAATTATTATTTTTTTTTTGGTCCATCTGTCAGGCTGATTGTAACTTCCTCTGGTAAATTCTTTAATCATCATCAACCACTTCCACATCAGCATTGAACCGTCCAGGCGGTAGATTAGGCTCGTTGGGGCTTCTGACACCTGGGTCGTGAAGTTGAAATGAATATAAATGTTTCGGGCGAAATATCCGAAATAGAAAACGACGGGATAAAATTAGGCCATTGCATAATCGCTGAAACGATTATCGGTGTAAAAATAATTCGGCGGTTAACATTTTTTAAATGTAGAACGGTTTGTGTGTCTGGACATGCCTTGATGTTCAATCAGTTAATTGTCGACATATCAACTTTCATTGAATGCAATTGTAGGAACATATGGAAGCGACACGATTACAACACGAGTTTTGCGAGTTTAAACGGGATGCGGCCCAGATAGAAGCGGTAATATCTACAATTTTTAGTTGTACACCTGCCCATGAGTCACTTCTACCTGTTGATGCTAAAAGTTGCGGTGATCAACAGTTCTGGGCTGCGGATTGATCTGAATGCGCGACGCCAACGTAAAAACGGTTGAGATGAACTGAAGTTGACGAAAATTTTTCCATGCCTTTTTTTCTTATTTTTTTTTAAATGATGGCAGACAGTCAAGTATTCAGAGACAACTGCTGCCGCGTTCTCACGATTCTTCGGAGCTTTAATTATATTTTCAGTGGAGACGAAAGAAATCGGAGAAAAAAGTCAAGTTGTAAAACACGATCTGAAAGCTTTCAACACCTACGATATTTTCTGAAGCATTCCCTGTTTTTGCAAAATAAATAATGGAACAAATAATCCGAATAATGAAGAACCCCACATTTTTCATCCGATCGGGAATTAAGTGAATGCATTATTATTAAATAATTATTTAACTGATAGGGCGCCAAAACTTTCTTAACGTACAAAATATTCATGCATGTAAATAAAAAAATTATTATTACTGCAGCTTTTTGGCTTTAAACATTACACAAAACTCCAATGAATTCATCAATCGCAATATAATTAAGGCATCCAACACAATGGGATATGCAAAAAGAGGGGTGAGAAAGGTCATGTTCGTATTATCGGTGGAAAAGGTCGAACCCACAGTTCATTCTCGTAAAAAAATCGATGGATTTGTCGATCGTTATATTTTGTTGAAATAATTTCCTCTACCCAGTACACTCGCCTAATCAATCGGTCAAAGTTAAATCTCCGGGGAATCTTAAATCCTCAAGTCAACAAAACAGTCATCCAATCCTAACAATTCCGAGCTGTCCAACACGTGCGCATATCAGAGTCCATTTTTTCTTCAGATAAATAGTTCAAGTGCCAGCGGATCTCATGAGTCGTTACAAAGAGTTAATTAGTCCTGATCACCGAGAATTACCGAAGGAAATTGTTCACAAGATTTTAATGTGATTGAATCCTAAATTGAATCGTGAATTGGAGTTTGTGTTTCGTGAAATGTGCGACAAGCGCTAAAAAAATTGAGCAGAATGGTTATGACGAGAAATGTCAGAGGCATGTGTACACTTACCCGGAGTAGGAATACCTTCCGGGGTATTCCTAAAGCAGAACTAGAGCGCAAAACCAATGCGATTCTTCAGGCTATGACGGTGAGTTGAAGAAAATCCCTGAGAGCAACTGCACAGGCTGAACCCATAATTTTCTTATCGATGTAATACGGCGAGAATTTCATCTCCGATAAACCATTGACCCAGTAGTCAAGTTGATGATATTGATGAGTCCTTGAGTATGTTTAGACCTATTTACGATACATTATGGATGCTCTGGAAGAATCAATCAAGCATCTGGTCGATTGAGTTTATTTTGTCATTTTACTGGATCTCTCTGGCTTTCAGATTGAAGAACTCTACACAGCTTTGGTTTATATGACTCAGCATCAGATTGGGTATGATGTGTCTAATGAATGTGGGATAGATGCGCTTCTTAATCATCTTCAGCAGGCCTTCAAGGTGGACAATGAGATGCATGAACAAGTGCTGGAGGAGACAAGAAATATGGAAGTGAGTAGGAGTAATTTTTTTTTAAGTCTAAACAGACAAATGTGATTATTTACGATCGGACTATTTAGGCACCTGTCATGCACCTGAATGTTGAGGTGATAGAAGCCAAGGAACTCATTTCGAAGGACGCCAATGGGAAAAGTGACCCTTTTTGCGCACTATATCTCGAATCTGCTCCTACCCGGAGATACAACACAGCAGTAAAGACCGCAACCTTAGCACCCATTTGGGAAGAGCATTTCGAATTGTAAGTCAAAAGTTAAAGATTTAAAATATTCTTCATGAAATTATTTCAACTTTCCATTTAAAGGCCTCTTGACGATGCCGAAAATGACACGCTTTGCCTAGAAGTCTGGGACTTCGACGCAGCAGAAACTGTTCCAGAGAAGATGAGTAAAGTGAAAGATGTGAAAGGAGTCCGGGGTCTCGTTAAACTGGCCAAGGAGATCGCGGTAACAGCCACAACGGGCAGTCATGACAACGAGTTCATCGGTCGATGCAGAATTCCACTGCGAGACATCCCGGTGAATGGCCACACAATGTGGTACCCTCTCGAGAAGAAGCACAAATCCAAGCGTCGAGGAGTCGTTCGACTCCGTCTTGCTTTCAGTGCCGAGCACAATACTCAAGTAGCAGCACAAGAGCACCGTCACCTCATCAGAATTCTCCTCCTCCACGAACTCGAGATCGAAAAGGTGGAGAAGTACTGCTGGTGTGGACGGTGGTCAGCTCCAGCAGAAGCACTCGTTCTCCAGCATTCAGCTCAAAGAGGACTCCTCGCAAGAAACGTAGCCCTAGCCCAGTGGGTGGAGTACTCCAGAATCCATCAACAGCATCCACTGAATTTCGCGGTCTTCAATAAACTCGCCGTTGAACTAGCTAGACCCCTCGAGAATTCCCTCTTCTCAAGCGATGAAAGTCGACTCTTCTGGGACGCTACTAGGAAAATCATCTACTCCTGTCTCAACAGCATTAGAAAAATTCGAAGACTGGCACCTGGCGATAAGAACGTGATGGCCCAAATGGGTGCTATTCTGGGAATTCTCTCCTCGATATCTTCTTTAGAAATCCCAAAGGACTTCGATCTATTCCCGCCGAAGATGTTCGGCTGGTTTCCGGAACCTGATGGTACTGTCGTTGATATCATGAAGGGATTGGAGTACACAGTGATTCAGGGTGGAGCTGAATGGTTCGATCATATTCTCAGTAACAATACCCCCGAGGCTGACACGGATGATGACGCTCTGAAGTATCACATCAAAGTCATTCAGCTGATTAGAGCAGATCTGCAGAGGGCTCTAGAGATTTACGACAGAATGTTCATTAAGAAGGTCAATTTTCCATATGCAAGAACGCTGTACGTTTACTACGAGAAGAGAATCAGCGACATGTGCACTATTATTATTGAAGATGTCTGTCTGAGGCTTAAACGAATTGAATTAGAAAAGGATGATGATGCTGAACTCACTCTAGGTACAACCCTATTTGAACTGTACCTAACCCTCCAGAGATACGCTGTTCTAGGTACAGTGTTTTGTCTGGATGGCCTCGAGCATTTAAAGATTCAGAATTATCATGAGTGGTTTAGATCTGGTGTTGCCCACTGGCTAGACATTGCTGTGTATAAAGCATTGAAGAGAATCTCACGAGCAGTTGAATTTGATACCCTTCAACCTGTCGACTCCAATGTGCAGTACAGTTCGAGTGCAGTTGATACGTTAACAATATTTTATCAAATCAAAGTCTTCTGGACCCAATTAGCCTGGCCCGATGTCGAGGGCTCATACACATTCATCGCTAAAATTATAGATGACATTTGCAAGTGCTCTATATCATACGCGGATATGATGGCAACGAAAGCGGAAAAAGTCGACAGACAGATGCAAGAGTCTGAAAATACTAGTAGTGTTTACGATAAGAAGTTTGAGGTTTCTACAGCCTGGTGTTTCGCTATTAATAATATAGATTACATTAGAACGTCGATTGAACCGTTGGCCAATGATTTGGGATTGCAGACGATCATCGAGACATTGGGGGAGAATAAAACTCAGCAGGAAGCTGATCGGTGTCGGCAGACTCTGCAATTAATTATTGATAATGCAACTGATACTGTTAAGAATGAGATAATCGATCTGTTGGAGGTAGTTGCAAATAAAATGCAACCGGCGATGAGCAGGTACCTCATGGAGGGAGCCGAATTAATTGACACAACCAGCAATGCCATGGATCGTTTGCTCCAGTATCTCGACTCTAACATCACAACTCTTCACGATAATCTTAATGAGGATAATTTCGAGAGAGTGTTGCTTGTCATTTGGCAGATCATGTCTGAGACTCTGTTTCAGCTAGTGCACAATAACTTGGAGAAAAGGAGGCCGCCCTCATTTTATTCGAATCTTCATAGAACTCTTCATACTTTGATTAGGTTCTTTAACTTGGGGGCTGATGAGACTGCCAATGTGCAAGTGCTCAAGAAAATTGAGCGGTTGCTGAACTTACATGGACTGGAAACGGCTGAACTTATTCATAGATATCATTTGGAAAGATTCAAAGAGCAGAACGAAATGGAAGATGCGCTGCACGGAATGTTGACGGTTAAAACGCATTTCACGGAGAATTCTCTAAATGTGCAAATTTTGAATGCCAGGAATCTCAAGGCTATGGATAGCAACGGTGAGTTGAGTTAAAACTTGTGAATTAATGCGTTGGATTTATGCCTCATTGCCGGGCGTTTCATGACTTCAATGCAGCTTTAGAATATTTTTGTCTTCAGAAGAGCGTATTGCTTTGGGGAAAATTAAGACTTGGAGAAACGAGATTGTCGATTGGAGGAAAGTTTGTGTGGGGTAGAATGGGTGGTGAATGATTTTTTTTTTTTTCGATTTTGTAGGAGATTTTATAGGCAAGCTGTCTACTCTTGAGAGAAAACTGCATTCGAAAAGTAAACAGACTAAACAAAGACTGAAAGAGGTGAAGCCAAGTATGTAGTAAATGCAATGACAATTGTTATCATTCCTTCGTGATTGCGAGGAAGACTGCAGAATTATTTGCCTGCTAATTCTGTCTGGGGAGTCTAAGGGCCGATTCGAGAAACTGCATGAAGGGGAATCGAGATGTTTCCATTTGAATGTATAAGTCTAGGGGTGGTCTATAAAATTGTAGAATGCAATGAATTTTGGGGATTTCATGGACCATTGCCATTTGGATTAATGAATGAATACCATGGAATAAGACGGGCCCCGTGCATGTGGCTGGGTCCGTAGTCATGTCCAATTCTCAGAAAAAATTTTTTATAGAAGTTTGAATTTTTTAATTTGGTATTTTGCAGGGAAATGTGATCCCTACGTTAAAATTCGACTCCTCCCCGAGGAAAAATTTCATGATGTGAAGTTGCCAAAGACTCATGTGGAGAAGGAAACGCTTTTTCCACTTTTCGATGAGACTTTCAACATTCCCCTGACTTCTGAACAACGGAGCATCGAAGATGCCATTCTGGTTTTCGAAGTTAAGGATAAGGATTTTCTCAGGACGAGATTCATGGCCGAAGCTTTTCTGCCATTCAACGAGATTATGCTCACCGGACATGAGAGAGGGCTGGAGTCACTTGACCAGTGTCACCTGAAGTTATCACGGCCAGTCGATAAAAGTGAGTGTTCTATAACAATAGGAATGAATCAATATATCATATGAATATCCCATTGTATGTTGTTTGTCTTCATATCTATTTTCAGCTACTGATGTAATTCGCGCCTTAGAGCACAGGAAAGGGGACAATCAAGCGATGGATTTCATCTCAAAACTCAATGCAAAAGCAATTGCCAGATAATTAACGCAATGCAAAAATTGTTTTTTCAAAAATCGTACTCCAACATTTATTTTCGTTTGCAAAGTTTTATTCGCCGTGCCTTAATTGATGCTGAGGTCATCGATAGAAGTTAGATTTTTTATAATTCGTACGTAAAACTGTAGGCTGTGCTGATCATTGTACGAACGCTTTAATTGTTCGAAGTGGAAAATTTTTTCATAAATTTTGTAATGAGAAAATGGTAATTCATGAAGTGCAGCTATCGAACAACCATCATATAAGTGCCTTACTTGTTCCTCAACTATTTTTCAATCAAAGATATACACATTATCATTGTTATATTAGTGACATTATCGACTTGTAAATAACGAGTTGTACTTTGTAGTAAAGGTATTTATATACAAATAAAAAATGGCCAATTGCTTTATGTCTGTAATGAACACACGAAAAATCCCTATCCTTTATCCTAATATAGGAAGAGAGAAGCATCGAGTCTCTAATTTGTTATTAATAAAACAGTGATTAATTTACTTGGTTCATTCTTCAATTATATTTTGAGATTTGCAGTTGAAAAAAAAGCCTTCTCGTAGATGACAGAAAATTAATATGTAATTCATTATATCATGGCATTACAGTGGACTTTCGTAATTTCATTCTGAATGGATGAGTTACCGATTCAGAGTAAGACATCCCCAGCTACTAAATCAGAAAATTCCGAGAAAATCTGAATGATCCACCGTTGATAACGGACGTACCGCACACATCCAAAGGATCCAAACAAATTGAATCATCTGAAAGCATCACTCCCCGTCAATTTACGAGATAACTGAATAAAAAATGTAATCACCACTTGGTGCTCTCCCGTGTCATGAAAAAGTCGTCTGAAAAAAAAAATGGCAATTTTCACCTGTGCGACATCATACCGTGACACAGTTTCGAAATTTGACGCAAATGAAATTCTGTCGTCCAACTAAAATTCCCGGTGATTTAATAACGACACAGGAACACAAATTCACATCAATGAGAAGTGACAGAGATAGAGCGAGAGGGGGAGTTAGAAGGAGACAATGTATACGCTCAGGGGGATGCAGTGCAAAATTCTGAAACTGCATTGCACATGCAGTAACTGTACTTCCCATTACTACCCCAAAAGCGCTTCCACAGAAGATGCAGGTGGTAGGTGGCAATGTTAATTTTGAATACTCGATTAATAATATGAAACGGGCGGAGCTGTCGGAAAATTATGATGTTGCACACGTGTAACATGAACGCTGTATCCACACACTGTACTAACCCGATTAATTTCTACAGATTTCTATTATCCTTTGACTCAAAAGTTGGCTCGCTATTCGAGGTATTCTGTTATAAATTTCCTAATGTGCATAACAATGTGCAACAGTGAAATAGTCGACTGAAATTATTCCCGGGATTATAACGATTACTGTATGAAAATTCCTCCCATCAAATGGTATTTAATCAGTTGTTGGATAGGATAAGCATGATGTGATTTTGCGGAAATTAATATTTGAATAACAGAACAATTTTCGTAGGTTCAACTGTGTGATATGATCGTACTTCCGGCCACTTTACTCAAGGATATACGGAGTAAGAGGCATGATGGCATTTATGTACACAAAGCTGTTCTGAATGCAATACAGTGGGCATCGACACTGGGGATATGGCATTTGTACAGACAATACGTAATTACGGAGAGCGTTGATCGATATCGGCTGGACCCCGATGGCACGATCATGTGACAATGGATATCCCATTGGTGACGAGGGCTCTTGTCCTTTCACGATTTGGTAATCACAATATTGGGCTCGTTTAAAGTACATCGATCATACTAACATACGCCTAGCGATGGCGCTGGCTGGGTAATTACGAAAAAATCAATCTTTCACATTTATTCATATTATTCTCATTGCTTCATCCATTTATATTCGAATATTGTTGGGGAATTCTAATTACAAATCACTATTGATCGTCATAAATATTCAATTTTTCACATTTGCATATATGACAAATTGAAATTCATAGGCGAGTTCAATTTCTCCTTTTTTTACCGTTTTTCCACAGTTCTCAAATTGCTTCTAGCGATTAAAAATAAAAAATCAACCTTCCACAATTATATTTCACCTGAAATGAAGAGCTAAGTCGCAAGAATGCGGTAACAATATTTTTGAAAAATTGAATACAGGTGGAGAGGCTCGAGACATTGAAAATGTTGAAAATATTTTGACACTAACTGGTGTGGAAGCTTGATCATGGATAATACACAATTTTTCATTTGACAGAACGGCTTATGCAGATATAAATTGCAGCCGACAGAGTTGCAATTAACCCATTGAATTCCGCGTTCAATCCATTTAGCCGTTCATTCCTTCAACGCTCATCGATCGTAAAAAAATAGTACAATGTTTTCGAAACCCCTGATAATCCTTTCCCGCTCGCAGTACCAGACTATTCATATGTTTAGAGTGACGCCCGTGTCATTATTCCTATCACCACCGTGTGTCCCCTGAATAGAATAAAAGAAGAAAAAAAAAAGAAACGTGGAGACTGAATTTTAATCCTACCTGACAGTGACGAGCCGGTGACACCATGATTTGTTCGGACATCCGAGGAACCCCTCTGTTACTCCGGAACCGTATGTGTTCTCTTCTGAATGAGGCACTGAAAATTAGCATAAGCGTACGAACATGTGTGTATACATGTGAAAAACTAGCCCTCGGACATCATCACATTCTATAACGAAGAGCTTTGAAAAAACTATTGTCTGTATCAAACATAAACACAATACGAATTGAAAAATTAAAGAATAATATACCATTGAAAAAAGAAATTATTCCATAGATAAAGCGCTTTAATCCTTCATTTTTACACTCGCGATTATTTCACGACCTTCCATCTCCCGAAAATGGAACCAGTCACTAAATTTCGAAGAATAAACTTCATTTCCTGCAGTTGAGAACAAGTCCCGAAGTAATCCTCAATAATCCTATTTAATATAAAAATTCATTTACAATTTGAGAGAAAGTTACAAACCGCCAATAAAATCCACTGAAATACTTCCCGATGAAAATAAATTAACAATAACTCAACCCTCGCCGCCCAAATCCCCCACATTATTGAACAGGATTAATCGGCTTTGAATCAGTGAAATGTATTCACCTCCAATCCCAAAAAGAACTCTTTCATTATCTCCGAAAATTCTTCTCCATCTGCCCCTTCACCCCATAAACCGAGTATTTCTCAAACGAACCCAGCGATATATCAGAATCCCCCATCAGCTCTTTTTGAAAATCCCAAAAATGGGTGCAACCCATTCTGACTAAAATCAGTGACCATCAGCAATCGGCCGACAACCACTTGAATTGTATATCTGTATAAATTCAACCGACAGGCCAGATGCTCTGCAAAAGACGATTTAAGCCTGGTATGGGTTGCGTAGACACGCGCCAACGCCACCAACGTTTAATACGATCGTAATTCCAATTTAATGCCGATTTATCGTTGAGTCCTCGAATTCTCTCCAACCTCTCCAACTGAAAATCCTCGATGTTGTGTTGGTGTGGCCCACTCCTAGTGTCCCATAGACATACCTTCGCCTATTCCCCCATTCTTTCCCTCACCGATATACATACGTACAGATCCTCTTTGAACCATCTCTACACATCCACCTTCACCCCGTAATAATGTCAACAGAGCGTCGGTCACGTTCGGCATGAATGACTCGTGTTTTACAATTCGACCAGTTTTTTCTTTCACTCGTTGGTTTTTCAGAACATCTCACACAACTCTCATAAGCCCCTGGTGTTTCGTGATGACGGGTCTCCCTGTCGGATCAAAAATATTCACATACATACCGTAAGTACATGAATATCTCTCAAAGCAATACTAAACATTCGGTTCAACCACTGCCACTTAGTTTTCAGCATTGTCCCATCATATCGTGCCTCTTCTCGATTTCAGTTGAAACACTTGAGAGAACAATACAACACTGGAATGCGAAACGAATACTCAACCGCTTTTTCCCCATTCGTAACTCGAAATTTCGCGCTAGGTACAAAGGCCACCCCTTACGTATTTGACGCACTGTCTATACGCAAGAGTTACGGTGATAGGCTTGAAATTGTTGGATATTGGCTGGGCTGCTGGAAGTGTACCACTGATAAATCAAATTGTCTCCCACTTTCGTTTATGTTTTACTCGAAAAAAAAGGAAATGGTTAGAACATGAAAAGCCCTCATCATTATCATCTCTGACTCCGGATAACTCTGATAAAGGGAAAAATTTTCATGTCCGTAAAAGTACGTAAAAGGAGTTGGATAGGGAAGCCCCGGGGACGAGACAACTTCCCGTAACTCGTTTAGTGAGTTTGAACCGAGTTCTTAACGCCGAATGCATTAAGCACTCCTTACTCCTTACGCAGAAAGCACGACAGTTGAGAAAAGACTGGGCTCTCTCAATCTAATCTAAAACTCTATTTAGCAGATCTGATAGCTACATAACTGGACAATCTCTTTGATGCTCTGGCTTCAGCGTCATTCGAGTGACATTGGAGATGAGAATGTATGGAATCTCAACTTCAAGTTGATAATAAGATGGCCGTTAACGAGTCTGATTTAACGGTGAAACGCAGACGTAAAACGCACCCTGAAAGAAGACGGATTGAAATAAAAAATTATTCAGAGGTAGACCGTAAAATGAAAAGAGCTGAAACTTTGAAAAACTTGGCGTCCATTTTCAGAGATTGATGCCCAGATTGCAGATGCTCTTATCAGCGACTTATCGGATTCCAAAAATGCCAGAGTTGAAGTTGAAAATGCGCCGATTGAAGGAGTTAAGGTACGAATAAACAGAAAAAATAAAAAAAAAGAGGCAAACAAAAATCTCAACCCGAAAAATTATGCTACCCTGAAAGCACCGGAAGCTTCACCGGAAGCGGCGACCTGTAAAAAAATCCCTTGTTTCACAATGACGTGAAGAAAGTGTCGGAAATTGTACGTCCCGGATAAACCGGAAATGCGCCTAAGTCTCGAGTCCCGATAAAGGAAAGATTAACGAATGAAAAGAGTTGCGTACAAATTGGTATGTGTGATCACGACAACTTGGTCGGTACTGACACGAGACAGCCGGCGTGTGGCATCATCAGACGAATCATCGTAGCAATTTCCATGATAAAAGCCGTTCATATCGTTACATGTCATGGTGACTGTCGTTGAACTTCATTCCCTTTTCTTACACCCCTAAATCTCCCCTCTCTGGTAGAGAAAAATTTACCAGTGAATGCGGCAACGCCGGCAGAAAGGACGAATGTGGCGCGCGCCGCGCAGTCTCGTCTCCGATTGGTCGAGAGTCTCGTCGCGGCAAACCGTATGAGAATTGAGACCAGTTGAGCGCGAGGTCTCGAGTCCAACGGTTGTACGCAACATCCGTTCCCTCACGCTACTAAAATCACCAACATCACCAAGTAATTAACCAAATATTCAATCAGTTCAGTTGCGCGAGTTTTTTTTTTAATCAGTTGACAGTGTGAATGTTCGTTTTCGTTTTCTCTCTCCGTTTGTCAAACTGCAAACAATTGTGAGGGGCAAGTTTATGGGATGAATAGTTTTTGAGTTTCAAGTTATCCAACGTGTTTTAAGATTGGCTACAGTGTTTTTGTATTTTTTTGTTTGTTACAAGTGCTTTGGATTTTTTTTTGCTGAAGCTGGACGATTCTCATCAGTCGAACTGGTAAGTTTATTTGAAATATTATTTATTTGGGATTTTCGGGGAACGAGGGGGGAGGGGAATTTTCGTTGGGTCAAGCGGAAATAATTGAGAGATTCTCGAGATCTGGGATCTGGGAAGGCTATTTTTATTTTATAATGTAACGGATTGAAAATGTACGTAGAATTACGCCCGGGGGGAAAACAGAGAAGACCCCGGCAATTATTTTTTCCTGATAACAATCCATGATAAACTCTGTAATATAATATACCTGTGTGCAGAATGGTCATTGGACTATCTATCTCAGACGATTGCACCCAATCGTCTCGCAGAATTATTCACGAGACGTTATTATCCTAGATTCCCGGTCGCATCATAATCCTCCTTGGGTCTCACTCCATTTCGTGTGACAGTTAAATGCCGAGTCATGTCGATAAACTTTGAATTTTTAATCGACGGTGATAGTCGGCACAATTTGAATAAAATGGGAGATGATACAGTCTTGAAAGCTATACACCGATAAGTGCCCCAGCTGATCGTAGTCCAATAGTAACAAAATGCATTTAGTTACAAAAAAAAAAAAATCGGAATGAAAATCGGCATGAGCACGTGTCGTTTTCCGTACGTTAACTTGCTAGGAGTCTGAATTAACTTATTGATGGACTGAAAGTTGTATTGGGAATTGAGTTAGAGAAAATCAGTAAAAGACTGAGGGAATGGATGAGAAGAATGAGGAGAATCGTTCAACGAACTCTGGTGAGGAGGGAAGGGTCCTATGCCGTGGACATCGGCAAAATGAACCAACTCCAATGCGAAATAAACGACTGGAAAAAGGCCCCAACAAGATGTTTTTTTTTTATTTCCACTTCTCTTTGGTGTTCCCTTTGCCTTGCGGGTGAGGAACCTGCCCGGTTTCTTCTTTCGCTCTCATAATCATCTCGTCCTTGTTCCTCATGCCCACTATCGTTCAGGGCACGTACTACGGGGGTTCGTGAATGAGACATGGGAAACGAGCCGAAGGGAAAGAGCAAACGTAGTAGAAAGGGAGAAAAAAAAAGAATTATTTTTAAAGGGGGGTAAAAGAGAAAAGAGACGGGAATCGTGGGGAGGTAACAATACCGGGAGAGACTCGGTTATTCCTGGGCAACGGAGAGCATTTTAAATACTTTGAGTGGTTTTTATTATTCGTACTGTGGACCACTGGGATTGCAAAATCGCCCTGGAGGAGTACACCGGCCATTTTTTTTTTACCGATTTGTGAATGGAATTAAAACGTTAGGTTATGTCTGAGGTGGTTTCTCGGTGGGCGGAATTGGACGCGGGGGCATTATGCATTTGCGTTTTATGTACATGAGTTAACGGACGGTGATTTCCGATTCTCGTTTGGGGAGGATGGATAAAGGCCTCCAGGTTGGCCATGCTTGTGGAGGGATCGATTATCCGATTCACTATCGCTCCGGTATTAATATAAGATCACGAGGAGGGATAATTACTCATGAAAATTGTGCAGCAATAGCTACACTCTTTTAAAATCACTTGTTTCATCTCCTATTTTGAGTTCACATTATCTCCAAGGCCCCATTTTTTAATTTTTATGAGAACGTATCATTGGAGGGTTAGGATTAACGATTTGGAAATTATTAAAGTGTTTGTCTTTATGGTTGTGGTCAACTGCAACCGTATGTCGGAAATAATATTCCACTTTTCGATTGGATATATTTATTTTATCGTCATATATCTTTATGGTTGATAGAAGACTATTTTATTGTTTACTGATTGGAATTTCGGGAATTAGTGCGTTATTTTTTAATGTGAGCGCTTCAAGGAAATTGTTTTTACGTTAGTATTAATCAGATTGGAGGTGCTATTAGTGGTGAGTGGAGTTGGAAATCAGTGATTAAAAAATGAGGAAGAGGATGAGAGAGATCATTGAGCCCATCGGTCACGAAGTCCTCAGGATGATGGAACGAAATCCATTCGTCTCGGGCACTGATGCGCGCCGGCTTTGAGGTGTCTTTGAAGACCTCTCGTTCATATATTTTTTACTCTTTAAATTGTGCATGAGTTTATCCCTCTTCATCTTTCTCATTCACCACGAGTTTCGGGGCAACCGTCGGGCGAAAATTACGCGTAACAAGATTTATTTCATTTAAATGAGGATGTGCGCTAGGCGCTTAGCTGGCCCATGGGCAATACGTTTTCACGCGTTAAATGTTTGCTTTCTGGACTGGCGCATGTGAAACAAATTTTTTGCAAATGATCGCAAATGATAACACGCGGTGTAATGTTATGTAGTCAGATCTCGTCGGAGAGGATATAAAATACCCACTGGGGGAATAATGAAAAAATAAATTGATGTAAATTCGGTACGGGCTCTACATCAACTTCGAACAGCTAAATTAATTGAATTCATATGTCATAGTAGAATTATCGGAGACATTACAGTACGTTTTCATCCATTCAATTACGCGAGTTACGTTTAATGTCTGAACATTTTGAATAATGAAAATTTACATACTAACGGTGGATGACAAATTCTCATTTTTTACGTTCTTGTTTCCGATTGGAAATTTTGGTAATTACTCGATTTTTATAGCAGCCGCCCAGGGTTCAATGACATGAGTTTTTTAATTATTGGTGAAAAATAATTAAATATTGATTGGCCTGGAAACCAATGCGACATTTTCGAAAATAAAATATTCAACACCCCCCCGAAGTTGAAATGTTGAAAAGTTGAATGAAAATTTGGTAAAAATATATATTTCACGAATTCTCATGGAATAATTGGTGTTCTCCTCGATTACTTCCATTCACTACTTGTTTCTCATCGAATCCTTCCATTTTTATTCGTTGACTGGCGGGTTATGAGGTCCTTCCACTGAATGAAAGGTGTTGAAAGTTTAAGGGTGAAAAAAACATGTTTATTGGTAGCAGTGATTGTTGATTTTTGGAGAATACAGAAGCTGTCAGGACAGGGGAGTGAAGGGGAAGGAAATGGAGGGATACAGAGAATTTTGGACAAGCAAAGGGCAGTTCATTGACGTGTATTAAAGCGGTGTGTGCGGTCGGGTGGTGGGTTCACAGAGAGAAGTTCCAGTGACACGTGTCACTGACACGTCGTGTTGGCATTTATGCGCACTAAACTCATCGTTTCGTTTAGCGTGTCCCTTCGTGGTCCTGTCATTTTTTTTAACGCCAGCTTTGGCATTCATTAATATTCCAGTCGGCTGCGGGGAGCAAGTCAAATAGAGATTGATATATATTTTTTTTTTCCCGTCTTCCGTGACTGAGACCAGATAAAATGTAGAAAAGATCCCCGTGAATTCGGTAAATACCCCCTATTCATCCACCAGTGAGAAATAAATGGAGTTTCCATCGTATTTGCACTGGGGTTTACACTCACTCCCGAGTGGAAAAGTTTAATCCAATACATTAAATTTGTAATTACAGTTTACACGTTGCAAATTACATGAAAGTTTATGTGTTTATTCGGGGAAGAACTGGAGTTGAGTCATCACCGAGTGCGATGTAAACCGTCTACGGTGCAACCGAGAGGAAAAATTGTACGCTCTATTCGTCTAGGTACTCAAAGGTACACTAATATACATTAGAACATTGGAATTGCGGGTCGATTCCGCGGGTCGATTTCGCGGATTAATTTTGCAGGACCAATTTCGTCCTACGAAAAATTTTGAGATCGATTTCCTTTCTCATTTTTATATTAGGATTTCTTCGGTTACGCTGTCATACATGTCTTGTACATTAATTCCCTCTCCATTGAGTTTTTGCCTCGCTCCTCGGAGACTCGTTTGACCTATTTAAGGTACACAACACCCCTCGAAAATGTGCACTAATTTCCCCCAGTTCTTCCCCCCGTCGTTAAAGTGAAAAAAAAAAAACGAAAAAAAGGAGAACTGCAGAATTGAATTATTCATGCGGAACCTGACGGATGTCGTATGGCGAGGCGTCAGGGATATTCCGGGGTTTACATCGTAAATTTTCATTTATTACACTGTTTAACACCTGAAGTTCAGCCAAGTTTGCTCCCAATGGACGCATTATGATCCCTGGAACGCATAAATACTAGTGTAGTCCGGTTACTACTCGGTGTTCATAAATGATCTGGATTTTATGGACGACTAATTATTCCATTGGATTTTCATATTGTCAAGAAAGAAAAAAGTCGGGATAATTACCAAATTCAACCAACAAAAATGAGAGTGCAATTTTTAATTAAATTTTCATGAAGCTCTCGAAAAACGATTAGAGTGAGTAATTAGTCTGTTATAGGATTAAACAATACCCGGGGTTTTTATTTTCTCCCGTCCCTCGTTGACTTTGAATAATTTACCAACTCCTCCTCATCCAACCATTCTCGTGCGTCCAGACTATCGATTTTCCACGCACTGCAGTGCATATAAAAAAAGGGAAACTTAAGACTAAAAAACAGAAAGAGGGGTTATGGGGAACATGAGAAGGTGCATGCAAGATAGAACGCCCGATTTCACCTGTTCCGTTCCTTTGGCTGTTCTACAACGCATATGCCACGTAGTCAGTGGTAATCCTCCCCTTTCCAACCCCATGAAAAACTCATCCCCGAGAGTCTCCAGGGGATAATACGCAGCGTCGTGAGTTACTTGAAATAACGTGTATACATATAAAATCCACATTCTCCATTCCCCAGTGGTTGGCAGACAAAAGGGAGACGGAAAAAATATACTGAAATAAAAGTCTGGCACTGAAAAAAATTTTAACATTGTAAAAGTGAGTTTTCATTGTTACTAAGTTCTTCATGCACTAAAATGAGATCATTATCATATTTTTCCTCATTTATTCCAAGAAATAAGTTTTTATTTTCTATTTTGCGGATTTTTTCATCCCTTACAATTACGCAACAATTTGCGTGATTCGAAAACTGGAATCGTTCCCCGGTAGTTTTATAGGAATTGAAGAATTCCGGGTAAAAAAAAATTGTAATCGGAATATTTTTTCTAAATTTTCAAAAAATGTCTGGAAAATTTTTC